TCCGAACGTTTATATTGATGAACAATAAAAAAAAAAATCACCCATACATTTATTCCCATAACCTCGTAAATCCGTCTTTAGAAGTCTTAGTAAGAAAAATAAAAATTAAATAATAAAAATATACCCGTTGAAACATTCGAACTTTTTTTTCTTCTTCCTTTTCGCCGCTTCTATTCTTCGCCAATTACTTTATCGCCCCGTACACGTACATAATATAACTGTTGTAAAGCTTTATCTCACGACTCGTCACATCTCCTTTTTATGCCATTGAAAAGTACAAAAAAAAATTGTCTCTTTTTGCTTTTGCCTCGATCGGTTGTCGGACAAACGCCCCGTATTACCCTCCCAGTCATAGTTGRCGACTACCCACTTGTACCACCCTGTCCGGACCTACGGTGCTGCCCACTGCTCCTGGCGGTGAAATCCGACACACAACTTCACCCACTGTCGCGTTCATTACCGACGTCCATTAAAAGTTGTGCCGGTAAGAGTTTTCGCGCGCAAAACGAAAATAAATAAATAAATAACATACAATCACCCACCTCCGTGTTGGTTTGGTGGAAGCGGGCATGTCTCGTGTCGGTGGGTGGTGACGTGTGGGAGAGAGTGACGAAGAAAAATACAGCGTTTCCAAAAACTTGCCCACTCACCGTATCCTTATTTCTCGCATCATTTGCCAACGGCCGCAATTTCAGGTCACGTATTATTTTTCCTCGGTTGTTTTTTATATTTTGTTACTTTTAAATTGTATCGTTTTCTTTTCTTTCACCTTCCATATAGTCTGTGAGGTGTCGGCCCAGCTTTTACTTCTGATTAACCAATTTCAAAAGAAAAAAAAAACTAAACAAATTGCTGAAGCCTGCCACTTAAAAMATTTATATAATATACAGAGTGATTCACCAAACATGCCCACCTTCATAATGTTTTACTTTATTAATGAATTTATTCAAATTCTTATTTTGGGATTAGTTTAAAAATATTTAAGTAGATTACTTGGTATTATATTCGTAATGTTTATGATATCCATATACATATATATACTAACATAAATATAAATTCATTCAGTTTCAGAACTACACTATAACCATTCTATAATTTATTTTAACTTTATATTATCACTATTGAATAAAATGAATAAAAATATTATACCAATCAAACCATTTTATTCCAGGAAACTTTTAATATCTACAAGTTTCAAACAAACAACTTCCCTTATAAGTACATTCAAACTAAACCATTGCGAGATTTAGATTAAGTCAATTAAAAGCATTATCTGGTAACTCCTTCTAAAGCTTTATTACTCAAATTGTAACCCTTGTTCGGAGGAAATAATGTATAGAATAACTCGCGTACCTACCTTTAATTCTTGTGAACTGATAATATAGAATTTTCATTATTTTATTTTTATAATTATTCATAAGTTAACTTTAATTTTAATTCCAACTAATCTATTTAAAAGCTGATAATAATATTATGCAAACTTTTTTTAAATTTTTTTTTTAAGCCGTCACTATTATAATTAAATMAGTAAGAAAATCCAAATATCAATATTTTTGATTTTGTGTGCAAACAGCTATCAATAAATAATAATAAAAAAATAGTAAATAATCAATATGGCTGAAAATGTCAGTAATGACGAATTTTCAAACTATAATTTCGTACAACGATTGTTATTTGCTACAAATAATTTCATCTCGTGATCCAACTTGTTATTAGATTTTAAAACCGGATAATGTGTCAAAATACCTACTGTRGTAGTCGCCTGGGCATAATATAATGCCAAGACACAAAGATTATTAAAAAAACATTGTTTATATGGTATAACATTACGATCTAATCACGCAAATGGTTTTGCAAACATTWATAATTTTAAAAGCGAATAAACATCGATACATTTTTGAATAAAAACTCAAAATCTAAACCAAAATTGCTTATTATAAATTTTTTAAACGCTCCCTAGAGCTCTTACASGTCTCTGTGTATGCCTTTGTTTATACGCTATGTCTTTAATCGTAATATGAAACTATTAAATTATGTTATACATTACATGTATACGGCGCTAGTAGTTAATGTCTGTATAATTCCATTGCATGTACAGGGCCACGAAATTGAACCACGTGGTTGAGCTTATATGCAAAATTATACTCAATGGGTACCCACGCAATATATTATATCTCGTGCTTGTATATTTTATTCAACGCGTATAAAGTCAATATTGTTTTTTAATAGCTTAACGGTATAATTGATAACGTATAATAAATTACGCAGACGTGCATTACGTACCTAACCCGGTGTATCGAAATATTTGTTAGTGGGCAAGAGCGSTACCGTCCTAAGTCCTTGTACAACTTATATACGCATAGGTATTATTTATATTATTATGTATACGGTACGTGTGGCCGCGTGGGTACTACAAGGAAAGCTTTTGTAAAACCACTCTCGAAAATCCAATTTTAGCGAATCGATTGCATAGGTATAATGCATAATAAATATAATGCGATACCTATATATTGTATACAATTTTTAGATTTTTATTTTTATATGGAGTTTTTTTATACGTTAAAAGACTTTTTWTACTRKCGCGTAATGTAATCAAACATAACATTTTTCGAATTTCAGACTGGATACTTGGACGTGCGGATTCCACCGAACATATTGGACGAGGCAGACATCGAGGGCCCAGGTAGCGCTGCYATGGAAGGTGGTACCATACGGTTGCGGTGCCGGTCTACTGGGAAACCGGAACCAAAAGTTCATTGGAAGCGAAAAGACAATCGTCATATCGTTATCCGGTCAGATGGGGCTAGGGAAAAACAAGGTTTGTGCGTGTAAATAATTTCTTGCATATAGGAAAGATTTGATCAAACCTATAACTGAAAATAACATATGTTAGAACTTAGAATATAGGATACTCACCAGAACCTAGTTATACGTGCTCTGAAATATTTAACATTTGAAGTTCAGACAAAATTTGTCGTCAAAATAATTAAGTGATAGTATTTACTTATTTTTTTCTAATCTGTGGTCAAAAGTCTTTAGCTGTCATGAAATAACCTGTCTTATTTATTGGTAAACTGCTCTCAGATTTTTTTTTTTTACAAAACAAGGTTTCTCGATTTGTCATCCAACTTCCAAAATTTCATTCAGTTAATTTGAATTTCATTTTAAGTCGTAACCTTCTTGTACTGTAAACGTCTACAATAGATATAATTAATCGATAAACAATTTGAATCTAAACTTATATATAAATATAATATATTA